ACTTGTGTTTTAATTAATTTTTGGTTAATATGCCTTATAATATTAATAGTACAGAGGCCACTGCATGTTAAGATTTTTTTTTTTTTTTGACAAAGGCCAAAGGTCAGAGAAGAATTACAAACTAACGAAATAAATCAAGTGCAGCGACGTCTTCTTGGAGAATCTCTTGATCCAGACTCATCGCTGTAAGTTTATCAGCACAACGATTTCCTTCAAAGTCACACTTAAAAATTAATTCAATCAAAGTCTTTAACATAATATTTTGAACTTTCTGGGTGGCTCATGGAAAGAATATTGCATGCCCTCATATGTTTCATTTTTCTATTTATTTAATCGAAGATGAGACGAAGTGGCTCAATATGAGTCGGCATGAGATGAAACGTGTTTCAGAGCGCTCATATAATGAATTTGTTGACGAACTTTTTCAAAGAAAAATAATTATGAGATTTAAAGAGATCATTAGCATAAATTATGGGCAATATTAAAAAGGAATAAACCTTGTTAATTTCATTAGCGTAGATTAACAAGTTACGATTACAACCTAAACATTTGATTATTACTCTTCCGGTCCTTAATATAGGACCCAATTATTGAGTTGGTTTTGATTCTAAATATAAGACCTATTTCTTATATTCATCAATTTTATCTAAATTATCCCTATGGATACTCCCTCAACCATAATCAAGTAGAAGAGGAAGAGGGAGTATTAAAAAAGATGATTATGGTATTTTAGAAAAACATGACACATTTCTTATAATTAACTAACTCACCTAACTTCCTTAATCTAATCAAATTAGTTAAATGGGTCCTATATTAAAGACCGGAGGAGTACTTGTGGTTGAATGTGCCTAATCCAGAAGCCATTACATATCAAGATTTAAGAACACGAGACTCCATAATGGACCATTATGAGGTTAGTATAAAGGAAAACTATGTTCTAGGTCCTTATAGTTTCAGTCAAATTTCGTCAAGGTCCCTAGAGTCTATATTTGCGGATATGGGTCCTTGTAGTTTAAAAGCGTTAAGCTTGAACTCCTTCTGTTAATTGACCATGCTGACATGGGAGAAGGTGGTGGAAGCCTTCAGCGATGGTAAGCTAGAAGTCACTGAAGACAAATATGCTCTGTTCATCCCCAATGCTCTACTAAAACAGGATTGAACCACTGGGAATTAAAATCTAGCGGTGTCTCTCTTGCTGCCTCTACATGAAGTTTTCAGCCATCGCGTTTGATCTTATTCTATGAGAGTGTGTCCTGTTTTAAACAGAATTTTTGTAGAAGTTTTCAGTTTTTTTTAATATTGACAACTATGTTGATTATACGATCAGTGTAAAAGAGTAAGTTCAACGGCAGTAAAATTAAAAAAAAAAAAAACAGATGGATCGTTACTACCAAAACAGCCTTCACTCCGGTATGATGATCCAGTCCCCTCCTCTCCTCTCAATTTTCTTTCTTTACTTTCTCAGTCTCTCCCTTTCTGCTTCTTAACTCTCTCTCTCCCCCTCTCTTGTCTTCCAGCCACCTATTAATTTGTAAGAACGTCGCCATATCTGTATATGTATATATAGCTTTAATTAAAGCAAAGTCCTGTGTATATATCTGTGTTGCTTCTGGGTTTTTCCAGAGGTTTTTCAATTTTTTTTCAGTTTTTTTTTTTGGCCAGGGGACAACTCCAAACTGTATCTCATTAAAGTAAGCCATATATATTCATTTCTTTATTCCAAAGTTAGTGTTGCCCTCATCTGGAATCATTCTGTGCCTCCTCTCCTTGAAGACCAAGGAAAACCAAAGCATTTTCTTCTTTATTATTGGGGTCCAAAATAATTGTTATTGTTTAGCTTTAACATGTCAAACAGAAGAAAGAAGCATGTGATAAAAGTCATTCTTCCAAATCCATGTCACAACTATATATATACTAGTATATATAGGCTCTGTTTGAATTACTCAAAAATACATTTTATATAAGTCGAGATAAAACTTCTCTTACATATTTATCTTGTATTTTATAGATCACGATTGAAAAGTTTACTTAGAAGCCATTCCGACTGCTTGTTTGGTATGCAATGGAATGAAAAATAGATTGATGAAAATATTATGTTTGATTGGATGAAAATATGATAGAATAGGAAAAAGCGAGAAGTAAATGACTTTAATGCCCTTGATTTAAAATAATACTAAAATAATTACTTATTTATTATTAGTAATGAAAATATTAAGATAATTATTTATGGATAGATAATTTTTAATAATAAATAATAATTTAATAATGATGATTTTTGTTATTATAGTAATCAAATCTAGTTGGCCTGATGTACTCTTATTATTTTTATTATTATAAAAAAGGATCAAATAAAAAATTAATTAAAAAATTCGAATTTGTTGAGGATATTCAGCGGCACCTGTGCTTCTCAGTCTTACTTCCTCCTCTACTATTCACTGCACCTTGCTATTTTCTTCTAACAAAAGGATTTGCCTTTCCAACTTTTTTCTTAATTTCCTATGAATCTGAACAGATTTTTAAGTTTTCATTCTCATTTCGTTCTCTTCCATAAATTTCGACAGGTCAGAGCTTCATGATTTTGAATCTCTGATGACTCCAACAGAATGAGTTAGCGGTGGAGAATGCTAAGTCATCGGCAACAATCAAAACCAAAGAAGAAGCAGACGTGAAGAACCAACCAACAAAAGACAAGCAAATCTGTAGTGGAGATGGGCAAGCGAATAAGGAAGACGGTTGAGCGGTGGTTGCGAGAGAACCTTCGAACATGGATGAAGAAGATGAAGGGGCTATTTGGGAATTTTCCACCTTGAAAGATTGTTTTCCACCAAAAATGGGAGGAAGAAGGCTTCCCATGGATGAGGGAAAATTTCACCGCCACCGGAAAATGCTCTTAGGAAAAAATGGTGCACCAAACATACTCAGGAAAGGAAAATGAGCCATTTTCCATTTCCCAAGCCACATTTTCTGGCCACCAAACGGGCCCTAATTTCTTCAAGAGTCACAGAAAATCTGAGATTCTGGATTCAGAACACTGTGCAATGTTCTAAAGCCTAGAATGATTAAGTTTAAGGAAAAGTCTTGTGTTGGAGTTGATCTATGTTTTACTACCTCTGGTCCTTAATATAAGACTTTGCTTGACTTTTATTTTGGTTATAAATATAAGACCCTAATTTACTTTATCTTTCATATTTATATATTTTTTCCCAAGATGGTCCTTCTAATAATGGTAATTCTACACAACACACTTAATTAGTAAGGATATTTTAGAAAAGATGACATATATTTATTACAAATAACTAACCTAGCTTTTTTCTTAATCTCTCCAAATTAGTCAACTAGATCTTATAATTAGAACCGGAAGTAGCATTAAAGAATATGTCTGTTACTGGAAGCTTTGTAAGGACAGTGCAAATGATGTGGATGGGACCTCAAAACGGTGTTTGGGATTCATATATTCTATATATCTGTATTCCTTTGCTCTATATATTTCTTATTAGATTATTTAATTAAAAATAATAATTGACTTTTGATGATAAGAGTGTGATTCAAATTAAAAAAAATATTTGTTATATTATTATTAAAACTATTTCCAAAAACTTGAATAGGAATATGATTCAATCAAGGTTTGTCCGTTCTTTAGTTCCAAAGGATAAGGAGGAGCTCACGGCTTTCTGAGCAAGCTTCATAAAGCAGATTCCAATTTTATGTCTCTGATCTTTAAGACAAGTTTGATCCATTTAAAAAAACTTAACTATATATAGCTTATTCTTAAACTGTACATGAAGCATTTCTTACGTCCTACATCCAAAGCTTCAGAGCAATTTTAGTTTACTTTCTAAATATTCTGACATGGCATTCCAACTAGAACTGTAATTTAGAAGCGTCAGTCATAATCATAATTGAAACATAAAACAGATCGACAAATAAACTAGCACATTAATTCAAATAGATGTTACTTGAAGTAATTGGTTGGATTCATTCTAATAAGATACTATCTCTGGTCCTTAATATTATCGTACCAAAAGATACATTAATCCTGTGATATCTCAGCTGGCACATATCTGCCTCCTTTGTATGAGTGAAGATGACAATATCTACTAAATTTTTTGCGAGTATCTACCTCCTTTGTATGAGTGAAGATGCCTATATCTACTAATTTTTGTGCGATTAGACAATCTTGCTTGTGAAGAAAGATCACTTTCTTGAACTGTGATTTAGGTGTATGCGCTTAAGTGATCTTATATTGTCTGGTCTGTTACAAAGTTGTAAATTAGCTGGTCACCGGTTGTGTTATGACTATCTGCTTTGCAATTCAAGCTGTGTTGTCAAACTTGATCACTTGGTTTTGGTCTCATAGATTCCACATTAGTGTCTGTAGCCTAAAAGATTTGTGTTGGGCATTGAATGGTTCTTTGACAGAGAAGACAAGGATGCTTTGTTCACCCCAATGCTCTACTAAAGTAATCATTTTTTTTAATTGAAAAGAGTTGAATTGTTATGAATTACGATCTACAATGTCTCCTTTAGTGCCCCTAAAAGAAGTTTTCAGCCATTGTGTTGGATCTTATTCCATTGGTGTCAATATCCTCAGTCCTCATGGATACAGAGGATTCAGTGGAAGTTCCAAGCAATTCTCATAAGAGAATGGCAAGTCGCTAAGCAGAAATAAAGGGCATCCACCAACTAATTAGGTTATTAACACTTACAACTAATTAATCACCTTACTAATTCTACTACTCATATTCTGGCATGGCAATTCAAAAGCATCAGTCACAATCAGAATTACAACAAAAAGGGATTAATTAGCATATAAAACTAGAAATTAATCCAACTAGATGTTATTACTTAAATTAAACCTATCCTCTCGTGAGAGCAAATTCTCACCTCCCGTGAGAGCACAAACCACCCCTAGGTGAGCGACTTCCAACGGCGTCGCCGCTGGGGGAGAGTGAGCCTAGTGTGTGCGCGCGTGTGAGTTGGAGATTTTGCTAGATCTGAAGATGAGGGCAAGTTCTGAGGCTTTTTTGGTTAGGGATTCGAAGGAGGAAGATCAGTGGGCAGCACCACTAGGAGCCTCAACAAGAATGGCGAAGACAAAAACAGAATGGCCGAGCACAAATTGGGAATCAATGGGAATGGCACCAGAGATGGTGAAATCTGGAAGCTATTTTGGTCAGAGGAGTATGGGTGAAGGAGAGTTCTATGTGTTGGAAGCAAATGAGTTGTTTCTTCAAAATAGATCTATGAGCCATGGATCAATGATTCTCAAATTAAAGCTAATCTCCCAGTGCCTTCTTGATGTAAGTCTGTTCTGTGGGATTCTTTTGCCTTGGCCTTGTGAGGTAACAAGATGTGATACTCTTTCTTCGAATAGTTTCTTTGTGAACTCCTTTTGGCCGTATGGTTTGATTGCTTGTTATGAAGTGCGTGTTGTGCTGGTTGGTCTGATTTATGCTTCTTGGTGGTTTTGGAATATGAGGAAAACCTTGGTTTCTGTTCAAAATGATTGTTGCTGCTGGTTTGTATTGTTGGTTTTATTTGAGATAGTGCTTGCCATAGTTTTCTCAAAGGTGATATGGAGCTTTAGTTTGTTTTCCTTTCAAGACAAGGATATCTCGGGATTTATTGTTAACTCATTTGTTTGCTTTGCTTCAATCTTTATCGAAGGGAAGGTCCAGAAGTTTAGTTTCTTTATAGCAATCAAAAGGGCTCTACTAAAAATTAAGTATGATTTAAGATGGGTGCTGCCTGGATGTCATTAGTCTGTATTTGATTTTAAGAATTTAGTATTAGTAGTTGCTAGGATTGATGGTTCTGGTTTAAGAGGGAGGTTTGCTTCTGCTTTGGCTTTGGAGATTGGTCATTGGTTGACTGGAAATCTAGAGGATAAAAAGCTTCTGGCTCTTTGTGTTGATTTTGCTCAGCTTGGCTGTGATTGGTGGAGCTTCTTTCATGAGAGCATGTTCCTTTTGGAATTTGTTGCTCTCTGTTGCAACTTAGCTTCTTTGGATGACCTAAGGAGTTTCGTAATGGGTTTGTGGCCTCTATGGTTGGGTTTTATGCCCCTCAATCCCAATAATTTCTTCTTTTGTTTGTTCGTTTCTCCTCTAGAAGGATGGTTAACTTGTGCTCATCTTTGCTTGCCTGGTTTTGTGATTGTTTTGGTGTGCAGCTTCAAGTGCATTAAGGGAGCGTGTTCTTGGATAGATTTTTCATCGTCTCCCCTTCTTTCTCACGGTTTATTCTCAGGTGCTACTATAGGAGTGAACCAGATCTGTTTGTTCTCGGCTGCTGCTATAGGAGTGATCCAGTTCAGTGTTGTCTTTTGATGTTTCTCGCGTTCCTGTTCTGCTCGTTTTTAGGTTTTTGAGTTTCTGTTGTTTTCTTTGCCTTTAAACTTTAAGTCGTTCTGTTTTGTTTTAATGATATTATACCTTTTCTGACCCAAAAAAAAGATGTTATTACTTGAAGTTGGAATCATCACAAGCGCCTTTTAAATGTCCGGCGAATATTTGATTTGCACCTCTAACAGAAGTACTTTTGATCCCCAAAAAGAAAAATGTTCAGTGTAATGATATATGAAAAAGTAGTTCTAATATATATACACACACACATAATAATAGTTTATAGGTTTCAGTTGTTAATGTGTTCTTTCCAATATTAGATTTATATTAATTGATGCTGTCCTGTGAATAATTGCAAGAAATGTATAACGACACATCCTTATGCTATTTTTTAGGATAAGGATGATGCACGCCATTAACTGTTTGCAGTGGAGCTTTATTTTTTAAGGAAAATTTTGATGGTTGCATTCACATTTTCCCATCTTTTCTGATGATATGAGCTTAACAAGTTGGTTGTTATCTGTTATGATGACAAAGCTGAAAGCAGAGTAGGCAAATAGTTTTTTTACACAAGCTAAACTAAAGTTCTGTTTGTTTCTGCTAGAAAGTTTGGAGCTGTTTTTGCATCTATACTGGTCTCAATATAATATTGACTGCACCGTACTTCATTCTCTTTGGATAATAGATATTTTCTTTCAAGCCCTTTGATGGGATTAAGTGGAAAGTTGTCTTAAAAGGCTTAGATTATTGATTAAGATAGAAGCAAACCATCTCTATATTGTTGCTGAAATTTTCGAACATCAAGAGCTCATTTTTATGTTTGACAATGTGTCATTTTTGTAGTTCAATGCACTCATAAACACCATATTCTCATCACCGGCCACAGTGGCTTTGATCGTGACAGTGTTCCTTGACAACATGCTCGAGGTTGAAAAGTCAAAGAAAGATAGAGGAATGACGTGGCGGCAAAGTTCAGAAAGTTTAAAGGAGATAGCAGAAATGAAGAGTTCTATACTTTGCCATTCAATCTCAACAGGTTCTTCCCACCTACTTGATAAATCTTTAAGTCATGGCAAATATGATGAGTAATATTCTTTCTTCACAATCATCCTTTGATTTTTTTAACTTGGTCCCGGTTAGGATTATAAAGCATTTGGATTCATGCTCTGTAGATTCAATAAAGAGAATATTTATGTTTCTAGCTTTAGTACCTTCTCAAAAACTCTCAAGACTATTTCTAATTTGTAGTTACATTCTTTTATGGAATTTCAAATGTATCAATCCATGAATGTAAAGAATCCTAATTTCTTATATATGTTTGCTAAAGTATGCTTTATTAGATGAGTAAAAAAGGGCGAAAACAAAGACCTATCAGCAAGACTTCGGTTTATAATAAGTGGACTATGAATGATATTTTTATTTTTAAATTAAACACAAGGGAGCTTTGTCATATTCTTTTTATAGTTATCACTTATCACTGTTCCTTGTAGAGGCCAGATATAATTTAATTCTTTTTTTATAACATAAATTCTATTTGATGATGGATTAATATTATTATCCCTTTAATGACGTTCTCTCTTAAAAATTGTTTTAATTTTTATACAAAATGGAGGCAACTCTTAAAATTTTTTTTAGTTATTTACAGTTGTCAAATTCATGGATTGTATTATAAAGTTTCACTTGAAATGCTTTATACACATTAACATTACTTTATCCTTTTGATTATGAAGCAAGTGTGGAGAGGTTATGGGTGAGACCTTTAAAGCTTATTCGTCTACAATTTAAAAGTATGTTATCTTTTTTCCTATTTGAAAAACCTTTTTTGTGATGATTTTTTTTTTCGATATAAATGGATATACAAGATTGTTTTTTTTTATAAAATAATAACAACTACATTGCGAGATTGAAATAAAGAATAACATAAGAAATCATTGATACAATATTTGAAATAAAATAAGTTGTGCACACAAGGGCCACACAATTATTGTATTTTGTGTGCAATCTTGAATGTAGTTACATAGTTTCAACAGACTCAAATAAAATACAACTTCAAAGTAAATGTATGTCTAAATTTTTAAGCTTCTTTTTTTTTTAAAAAAAAGTTTTTGTGAAATTTTCAACACACTGATACAAATCCAACATATTTTCACACACAACTTAGTAAAACACAAATGCAGATAAAGAAACCATTGGAAGATCCAAAGCTCATCATCAGCCCTTCATTATCTCACTTTCCAATTTGATCTCCAAGGCTGACCAAAAAAAAAAAAAAAAATTAGCAGCTTAATCAAAATGGAACATATAGACAAAATAAAAATTAATAACCTTGTTTATTCTTCACAATCTTCGAGACGGTCCTTAGATAATGTGTATTAAATTAGAGCTAACTATTTATAATGATGAGAAATAATGTACTAAGAATGTGTAAATGGTGGAAATTAATTATTTTTGAGTTCCATATAATTATTCAACTTCTAATATTACCATAACATGTCACTTATTTAATACGAGTACATTATTATGATTTTGATATGACGAAAAATTTTGGGAGTGATTGCAATTTCTGATATAAAAAAAATTAGAGCGATGTATGTGTGGTTGTTAAGATAGAATTTTTTTTTTCTCGTAATAAAAGACCTTTTTTTTCCATATAAAATAGAAATTGTAATGCACAAAATTATTTCATTGATTAAATATGATAATAGTTTGAAAGAAAAAGTGTAGCTACGAACCTGATGATGAGGGCTTGTCTTCTAATGGGATTTTTGAGATTTTTGATATGTTTGGACAATCTTCTATTGTTATAGTACCAGAAAGGAGGTTGAATTCATAACCTTCATAAATCTCTCTCAACTTTGGCAACTTCCCGAGATCCAAATCATTCAGTTTAGGAAACAGCCTTTGATGATGAGCAGCTACTTCACCTTCATAAGCTTCAACAACCCTCTCCAGTTGAGAGCAATTCCTTATAGTTATTTTCTCCAATGAAGGACAATGAGATGCCAGAGAATATGAGAACACCCTTCTCACTTTGTGGCAATCAGATATACAAATGGTCCAGTTTGGGGAAGCAAACAGTGGAAGTAGTAGAAAGATTCTTAAGTGACTCTTCACAAAATATTCCCTCCCATTCATTGCATCCTCTTACTTCAAGTCTCCTCAACTCTGGAAGGCTTGTGAACAATAGCAAGAGTGAACGTATTTCTTAATCTTGGGCATTCCACAGTTTAATGCTTTCAAGTCTATGGAAGCTCAAAATTTGTATGGGATCTTTCCAAATATATTCTAATTCCGGTAGATCTACTAACCATATAACACGCAATTCTGACTTTACCACCCTCACTGTGTCATTGTCATGTTTCTGTGAAGTAAAAATATTCAATGATTAGATGAAAATTCAACATATGGACTATGTATACACACACATGAACCACATAAATTTAATGGCATTGGAACATTAAAAAGTAAACCCCATTCATTTCACATATTTATAAAACTATAATAAGATAAGCTTAGTAAGATGAATTTTATCAAGTTAGACTTTTCTTATACATATTATTGATGGTCCAATGTGAAATATATATAGACACACACACGTACACAATGTATGATGTATAAATATGCATCGACGTTGATTTATTTCAAATCAAACAGTCTTGGACAAGTCATACTTTCCATGATAAAGAACCGCTCACAAAAACAAAAAATGATTCCGCAACCAAGCATTAATGGGAACATTGCTAATACTTCAAGTAATTTCCAGCATGATTTCATGACGAGAAGACTGCTTCACAGACGCAAAATATTAAATAAAATTTGAAATGATTATTGCTTTTCATTAGAATATAGTCTTGCTACTCGTATATATCGTTTCATAGTAAACACAAATTTTCAAATAAATTTAAAAAGTAAACAAGAGGAAAGGAAAATAGGTCCTGTAAAAAGAATTTTCTCACGTCCAAAGAAAATGAGAAAATTTCCACTGATTCATTCTTAACAAAAACAACCATGAACAAGTACTTTCTGTAATAACAAAGAAGTTATTTCTCGACGAAGCTATAAAACGAAAAATATAAAGTGTTATGTTTGATAAATAATTTAAAAGACATTTATCAATTTTATCCATAAAAAATCACAAATAAAAAAAGAAATAGTGAGAGAAAACACTCACGTGAGGGAAGATCTCTCTCAATTTCGGCAATGACGACAAAGTTAATTCCTTCAGTTTGAGAAGTGGTAGCCGATCCCCATATGATGCTTCTTCAGCAAGCCTCTCAAGTTCAGAACAATTTCGGATCAAAGGTTGCTGAGAGATTAAAGCATGCTAGTTAGTTTCGTACAAAAGCTGAAAGGAAAACATACAAATTTTAATAGCAATAAAAGATGCACACTGACAAAGACCTTTTTAGCGTCCACAGAAAATTTAACAAATATTGTGTATATATACATAATTTGTAGATATTATATCAGCTCCAACTTATTCTAAATGAAATACAATTCCATATAATTATTTGCTTGACGAAATAAAAAATAAAAATAAAAAAGTGTTGTTTGGAAAAACAAAATTAATTATTTGACAAAAAATTAAAATGAACTAAAGAGATTAAAATTTTTATCAAATTCATATGTGGAAAGATAAATTAAAAAATGCAGCTTGCAAATAATATTTTGTAGTACTGAAAAAAGAAAAAGAAAAATTTGAGCAGTTTAATCTTTAGTATTATGCTAAATAGAAATTCTATGAAAAAGAGGTAGGTGAGCGAAAGAAAAATTTTATCAAAATGTTTGAAATCTCTAGTGAGAACTTCTGTAGACACTAATTTATATTATGCTGGCCATTATAAGTATTTACCGAATTGATCATTTAATGGCAAAATAAAAATAATGTACTTTTAAAATTGTGTTAACATAATTTCAACATGCGTTTTACCAGACTCAATCAATTTTTATAGTAACATGAAAATGTGTGACTAGCAAATGTTGTATATACTTTTTACTACATGATTATGTTAATTCTCTATTATAACAACTATATCACATTTAATAAATAATATATATAGCTTTTTTTTAACAAGAAGTACACATATTAAATATTTCTTGACCGACAAGAATTTTTGAACAAAAATACTAATGTTAACTTAATTTTTAGCAGAAAAAGAAAGAGCCACAAAAAGGTATTTTCTCACATCAAAAAGAAAAGAAAAGCATGGCGAAAAAATTTGAAAGGGAAAAATACTTCTCTTAAAGTATGTGTAGTTTTTATATAATGCATCAACACTAATTTATTTTTGAATAAAAATAACTTTGAATAAGCACTTCCCACAATAAATACCTAATAGCAAAACCAATATGAAAAAGTCATTTACTTGACCAAAATGCAGAATACGAAATGTAAAATGTTACTGCATCTGACAAATAAAAGTTGTTATTTAAAAAAAAGAAAAAGGAAATAATATTTTATTATTATGAAAATAAGGAAAACTCAGAAAATAGTTTCATCGTGCAGCCTGAATATATAGCCAAGAAAATTTAATAATAAAAGAGGTTTATGCAGGTATAATAAAGTGAAGTAAAAATAAAATAATTACTGTAGAAGTTATGTTTAATGATTATACAAATATATATATTATACGATAGCAAACAAAAAATTTTCAAATAAAAGGGAGATGTAAATTGAACACGGCTACTTTAGCAAATGCGTCAACATATATATATGGATTATTATTATTTCTAATATGCAATGATTCAAGAGAGACATTGCGGATTTGCTGGTCAAAAAAAAAAAAAGAGAGAGAGACATTGCGGATGAGACTTACCTGTGGATGATCTTGCATATCATGAAGTAGTGGATCCCCATGTGCAGCTTCTTCACCAATAAGCCCCTCAAATTCAGAGCAACTGTATATGCGTATAGCCTCTAGTGAAGGACAATGAGATGCCAGAGAATAAGATAACAACCATCTCACTTTGTTGCAATAGTATATACATATCCTTAAGTTTGGGGAAGCAAATATTAGAAGAAGAGAGGTTTTTGAGTGATTCTTCACAAAATATTCCCTCCCATTCCTCGCAATCATATACTTCAAGTCTTCTCAACTCTGGAAGGCTTGCAACAATAGCAAGAGTGAAGATACTTTTTAATTTTGGGCAGTACCACAATGAAACATCTTCAAGTCTATGGAGGCTCACAATTTGGGTGGGGCCCTTCCAAATATATTCCAATTCTGGTAGATCATCTAATTTTAATTCACTCAACTCTGAATCCAGCTTTAGAGGTTCTTGGGCTTTAATAGATTCTTCATCGTCTTCTACTCTTCCTCTGACTTGGATTTCCAATATACCTTTCTTTTTTCCACTCCTTTCAATTTGTAGACTTTTCAACCTTAGAAAAAGGATCAAGGATTGCTGATTTTGCAACTGATTGAATCTTTTTGCTGTAACGCCCACATAAGCACTGTCAGTTTCCTTTCCCTGTAAATGTATTAAAATTAAAATTATGAAATGGACTGATTATAACAACTTGCTTTTTACTCTAACTAGATTGGAGATTAAACCCAGCAAGTTTCTTATATAATATATTAATTATTGCCAACTATTGTTAGTAAATAATCCTTTCTAACAAGTAGGCAAATTTATATAGTAACAATCAGGACTTTTTTTTATTACCAACACTTGAAATGAAAATATAAAAATTTTAATAGCAACAAAAGAGGAACGGTAAGAGAGATCTTTTTAAACATCAAAGGAAAATTTAAGACGTCAAAAGAAAACTTAAGAAAAATATTTCTATTTCTTTTCTTCTTTTGCCAGCAAAGCAAAACACTTCTCTTAAAATATATTCATTCAGTCCTAAATATAAAACCTATTTTATAATGTAATTTATACTACAAAATAGATCTTATACTTAAACCGGAAAAGTAGTATGTAATTCATAGATATTGTATCAACTTCAACATATTTTAAATAAACCAATCCTAAATAATTAATTCATTGACGAAAATACAAAACAAAAAAATATAAAGTATTGTTCGGGAAAATGAGATTAATTATTTGACCAAAAAATAAAATGAACAAAAGAGATTTAAGTTTTTATCAAATTATGCGTGGAAAGAAATAGCAAATGCAGTTTGTAAATAATATCTTGTAATACTAAAAAAAAAAAAGTAATTAAATCTACAAAATTACTCTTTTGGTCCCATAGTTTTAACTCAATATAAAACTTGGACCCTAGACTTTTATTCATTATTCCTACTCAGTCTTTAATCATCCCTTTAATCTTTAGTATGTATCATAAATGCTAAATGCAAAGGTTTTTTTTTTTGGACCATGAAATGCAAAGATTTAGAACTTCACGATAAGCACATTGTTATATAATTAAAAATCCTTAAATAAAAAATGAAATGACACTAATTTATAATATATTAGCCTATCCAATTCCTTTCCACAAATAATATATAGATGGTGATAGAAATTGTAATTTACAAAAATTATTTTTTTTTATAACAAACAACACCTTGACCATGATTCTGAAATTAAAATAAATTGCTTTCACGCATTTTTTAAATCGTGATACCATGTATAATCTCAAAACATGTGTTTTTAAATTGGAATATACTTGTTGCTACATGATTATATTCAACTTCTATATGACATTTAATTAATGACATGTATAGATAGACATATTATATATTTTCTCACATCCATGGAAAAGCATGGCAGAAAAATCCAAACGATTAAAAAAAGATATCATTTATGTTAAAGTATGTATGTGTAATTCATGGATAATACAACAACTCAAATTTATTATAAATACGTGATGCCAAAAACAATATATAATACATTTCCTTGACGAAAGTACAAAATAAAAAAAAAATATAAAGTGTTGCATTTGGCAAAGTAAAAGTAGTAAGTTGAAAATAAGAATTAATAAGAAAAATACAAAGCTTGAAAAGCAATAGTATTTTGTTATCTTGAAAATAACGAAAACCCAAAAAATAGTTTTATCGTGTAGCCTCAATGTAGAGCTCAGAAAATTTCATAATAAGAAGAGGAGGCTTATATAGTTACAATGAACTCAAGTCAAGAATAAAATGACTATCATCTCTTACTAAGAATATTCTTTTTTAATAATTATATAAATACATATTATAAAAAAGGGCCACAATAAAAGGTATTTTGTTCACATCCAAAGAAAAGATTGGTGAAAAGAATTCAAAGGAAAAACTATTTCTCTAAAAGTATGTATAATTTTTAGATATTGCATCAACACTAATATATTTGTAAATAAAATAATTAAACTTTGAACAAGCGCTTCCCACAATAAATACCTAACGGCAAAAACAAAATGAAAAAGTCATTCCAAATAAAAAAAGAAAAAGAAAAAGTCATTTCGTAGACCAAAATACAAAATAAGAAATATAAAATGTTGCAACTGACAAATAGAAGTCATTATTTGACAAAAAAAAATTAATAAGCAAATGCAAAGCCTTAAAAAGCAGTAATATTTTATTATCATGAAAATAAGGAAAACTCAATATTTTCGTCGTGGAGCATAGATAAAGAGCTAAGAAAATTTAATAATGAAAAGAGATTGATATAGTTAAAACTACTCCTTCGGTTCTAATGGGTCTTATATTTAGAACTTGATGAATATTTTTTCTTTTACAACAAACAACGCCTTCAACTTCATCCTAAAATTGAACTAAATTGACTTCACGTATTTTTAATTTACAAAAACTATATTTTACAACTTGTGATTGGTTTCATTCATCATGATTATGTCAATAATTATACCTAGAAACATGTGTAAGTAACAAATACAAAGAAATAAGGTACAAATTTGTCCTTAAAGTATATGGTTAGGAGGTATGGGTATCTGAAAGTTTTTTAAGTCTCAATATCACCCTCAAAATTACAAAAACATAGCAATGTTGGCCTAACCGTTATTCCAGTTAATTTTGACAGTTAGTTTGACCAGATTGCTCATGTGGCATGCCATGTCATCAGTCTTTCCTCTCTTCCACTTCACCCTCCATCTCATCATCCTTTTTTTTTTTTTGAGTGAAACCATCTCATCGTCTTCATCATCTACATTGGCACCATTATCTCTCCCTCTCTCCCCCCCACAAACACTCGTCAGATCTATTTGAGACCCTGAGTACTCTCCTCCTTTGCTACTCGAAACAACTCCCACCGCCTCAAGTATCACAACCCCAATTCCAAACCTCCCCTTATCAAAACGCAAGCTTATCCCATGATGTGGAAGAGAGGAAGAGAGGGACGATGAGTTGTCATACCATATGGCACCCCACATAAGCAATCTGGTCAAATTAACTGTCAAAATTAATTGGGATAACATTCAGGGTAATATTCTTATGTTTTTGTTTGGGGTGAGATTGAGATTTCAGAAGCTTCTGGACACCAATGGCTTCTAGCCATATACCGATCAAATTTGCACTTTATCCCTATCACACACATATATGTTCGCTACTTGATTATATTCAACATGTATTATGATAACTATATGACATTTAATGAACGATGGATAAGTAGACATATTGTATATTTCATGATCAACACAACTTATTTGGCCAAAAACTGAAATGTAAACTTACAATTTTTTCAAGACAAAAAGAGGCACAGTTAAAAAGTCCCCCCCCCCCCAAACATCCATTGAAAAGCATGGCAGAAAAATACAAAGGAAAAAACATTTCAGTTACCTGATGACGAAAACAATATCAAAAAGTCATTTCCTTGACCAAGATACAAAATATAAAAAAAAATAAAAATAAAGTGTCGGATTTGGCAAGGTAAAAGTAATAATTTTTTTTAAAAATTAATTAGAAAAATACAAAGCTTGAAAAGCAATAATATTTTATTATCTTAAAGATAAAGAAAACTCAAAAAAGTAGTTTTTATCTATAGCAGCTCAAAAAATTTCATAATAAGAATTTTACACAGTTACAGTGAACTCGAGTCAAAAATAAAATGACTATACCTCTTATTAAGAACGCAGTTTTTAACAATTATATAAATACATTATACGATTGTAAACAAGGCTATTTTTAAATTACAAAAAAAAATAGAGGCCAAGTAAACAAAAAGAAAGATAATATTACTATTGTTTGTTATCGAGAATTTTTTATACTTGTTTATATTATTCGTTAATAAGCACAATTTTTTCAAATTAAAAGAAAATGTAAAAATGGCCACCTTCAATTTTTTTTTAAATAAATAGTATGGTAGAGTGAACTAAAAGTAAAAAGAATTGTCACAAAAAAAAAAGTAAAAAGAATCACCTAAAAATGTGTGAAATTATTAGCAGTTGAATGAATTCTGGTTTTTTCCCCAGCCTGTATATACTTTTCACAATATATGGATGGAGTTAGAAATTGTATAGCACGTTTCCTTGACAAAGAAGCAAAAATAACTAGGGAGATTAAACAGAGGCATTGATTGAACGTTTGAGAAAAGGATATCAAATTCATCTATCAAAAGAAAACCAACAAATGCAGTTTAAAAATTAAATGAAAAGATAAACTTTTTTCAGCAAATGCACGAACACGGATTATTATTTCTAATATGCAATGATTCAAGAAGGATTTCGCGAATAATACTTACATGTGGATGACAGTATTGCATGTCATGAAGTAATGGATCCCCAAGTGCAGCTTCTTCATCAATGAGCCTATCAAGCTCAAAGCAATTGGCTATAATTATCCCCTCCAAGGACGGACAATGAGAAGCCAAAGAATAAGAGAATAACCATTTCACTTTGCCGCAACCCTCAATAACAAGTCTCCTCAACTTTGGCAAGCTCGTAACCATGGCATGGGGGAATATGCAAGTTCTCAATTCAGGACAACTTTGTATCGACAGCTCTTGTAACATGGGGAGAGAGTAGCTGATAGATGAAGCTTCAAACAGCTGTTCAAGACTATTCATTTCAAACAATCGTAAAGTTATCAAGTCTGAGAAGATTTGTTGTGGTTGAAGAGTGTTCATATCAGAGTCCTCAATGATGAATCTTTTCTCTTGACAGAATGATACCACGAGGTGCTTTATCCTAAAATTTATATCTTTATGATTCCATGAACAATTATCTAACCAAAGGTGGTTTGCCCGAAAAATGAGATCCTTCATTGACGAAGTCAAAGCAAAGATTCTGAAGCCTTGTATGCATAAAGCTCTTAATGCTTCATCACAACTATCCAAATATTCTTGGAAAGAGTAACCTAAATATTCATTAATCATTCTGCATGTGGAATCATAGATGACATACCTCTTCAACCTTGAAAGAGAGAAATTCTCAGGGATGATAGATTTCTTATCCCAAAAGTATAATTCTTCAAGCTGCTCACATCTTCCAATTACTTCTAAAGGGCTTTCCTTAATTTCACATTCAAATATATCTAAAAGTTTCAGCATTTTCATGTCTGCAATTTCAGCAGGTAATTCATTAAATAGAGAACCACGCAAATCAAGAATCTCCAATCCTTTGAGTTCACACAAAAAAGAGATGTCACCCAATCGTTTCCCTCTAAGACATAAGGTTTGAAGATTTGTTAACAGTACAATTGATTGTGGGATAGAGCAAAAAGTTGATGACCGAAAAGTTAATGACCAAAATCTGCGTTGAAAGCCATCTGTTATGAGTGCCAACACTTTAAGTGTTTCTATTGCTCCAATATCTTCAATGAACCCATCAGGTTGAAGTAGCAAAATCTCCAGTGATGGGCAATGCAATTTATTAAAGATCTTGAAATTCTCATCCAAATTCCACAATGAGAGTGCCTTCGCATCATTCAATCTGCGGCAGTTGCTAACCAGCATGCTTGAAATTGAATGGCTATCCACCAAAACTTCTTGATGTTGCTTCTTTGCGATCCATAAGGCTACATCTCGAACAACATCATGCAATTTTACACGTTCCTGCCAATCGGTATTCATTAACAAACAAGAATCTAACAATTTCTCAATAGTTGCAAAAATCTCATTCCTTGCTTCCCCTATTGTATGAATATCATCACCCAGATTTAGAGTCCTGTTGCCAAAACGAATTAAATCCTCTATATGGATTTCATGATCCTCAGGAAACATAGAACACAATATGAAGAGCGACTTGGCTAGTGAACTTGGCAAATTATCATAACTTAATTCAACACATGCATAAGGGGTCTTCAAATCATCTTCAATATCCAATGGTAGGGGACGTTGTAGCCTCCTTAGTGTTGACTTCCACGCTTGAATACTCTTTCCTTTTAATGTGCTTCCAACTGTCACAATTGCAATAGGCAAACCTTTACACTCATCAACAATTTGCCTTCCAATGCTATCAAACTCATTCATTGACACATTGGCTGTTTTAACGCACATCTTGAACAATGCCCATGACTCTTCCTCTATTAAGAGAGACAATTTAATAATACTTTCACAATCCATAGAAACACATACATCATGGAGGCGAGTGGTCAACAATACACAACAACCTTCATTTAATGGAATTCCAATATCTTCAAGCCTTAGTTTGCTCCACACATCATCTAGGATTATAAGAATCTTCTTATTTTTCAATCCTTTTGATAGCCTTTGTGCTTGAGTAAGTTGAGTTGGCTCTTGAAGTTGTAAGCCTATTTGCCCCGCTATTTCCTGCTGAATGTTCAAAACATTTGGGGGTTTTGAAACGACTACCATGATGACCTTGTCAAAAAGCTTTAGCTCATCTACTTTCTTGCCTACTTCCTTTGCCAAAGTCGTTTTGCCTGATCCTGCCATACCATATAATCCCACCATCTTGTTCGTGCCATCTTTAATTGCCTCCAAAAGACAATTACAAGTTGATTTCCTTGAGTTGAAATCCACAAACTCTTTGGAAGAGAAGTAGGTAATTCCAGGAAGTTGGATCACCTGGGAAAATGGCTGAAAGTCAGAATTTTGTTTGAGGTCCATCATCTGTTTAGCCTTATTTTCCATTTGTTTGGATAATGAGTATCTAACTGACACATTGAAACAATAGTTTCGTCCTCGATCAAGCTCTTGTTGCAGCTTTTGTACCTCCTCTAGGATAGCATTCACATCATCTAACCACTTCTTCACGGATGGCATTATTTCTTCAGTTTTTCGATCTGCTTCTTCCGTACGCTTTCTCACATCTTCTAGTTTCACCTCTAGCTCTTCTTTTGCTTTCTCGAAGTCTTCATTAAGTTGCTTAAAGCAGAAAAAATACGCAGCTCCATGTGAAATCGGAACCACCAAGTATTCTGCAACCTTTGACACGATTGAGATCACGATCTCTGCCATTTACTGCAATCATAATTAACGTAGTAAGCAATCATCCCTAACACAAGTCAATGGTATAAGCATGTAACGTACAACGAAGCTCAATTTTGATCTTTCCTTATGGCATGACTAATTAGTAATATATTCATATAACCAAACTTAAAATCTAAATATATATGTATGTATAAAATGCTTGGACACCACACTTACTAAATTATAATATAAAGCTCGACTATTTCAATAACAACGTCATTTCTTCTGATCTGTAAATGTAAGCATTGCAACACAATGCACTACATTTCGTTTTAATAGGAAAACTAAAGCTTAAATAATCATATCAATAAATTTTATTTATTTAAATTAAAAAGTTATAAAATTTTTAAATAGAACAATATAAAAAGAGTCTAATAAGAAGTCGAGGAGAGATTTGAGTTTATAATGAAGTTATTTGTTATTTAAGAATATGAATTTTGAGTTCAAATGATAGTCAAATATAATATATGAGGCAACATCTAAGAACATTAGTCTTATGAGATATGTCATCTCCCCTCTCATGAAAACTGACAAATCTTTTACGAGGAAGCAAGTTATATGTAGCATTATTTATGCCCGCAAAAGACATCTGAAGTGACAAAGGCATATATAATAGACACATGCATCTAAAGTAAAGCATAAAGTATACTTGAGTTCTTTAGCAAGGTACGAATTTCGTTTTCTGATTAAGTTATCCGTTACTATACTCATGGCAAGTAAAAAGAAAAAAATAAAAATAATTAAAAAAAAGTAAAGGAGTTCTTATAGATGAATTAGTGGCTCTTAAATCAAATTAAGAGATGCCTAAATACACAAAAATAGCAAATAACAGTTCGCCGAAATTAGTACGAACATGTTATATATATATATATATATCTCAATTTTCAAAGAGTCTAAAATATGGAAATTCAATATTGTATAATTATTGAAGAACCAAAAGAAGGGGAAAAAAGCTCATAGCAAATAACGGTCCAAATTAAATATTATTGTACTTTTATACTTTTATATTAATCTAATTCACAAACTCTGTTTTGTTATGTATTTCCAAATCTTATTTAGGAATTTTGTTATAGTTATTAAGCTTAAAATATTGTCCCGTATTAACAATGATACTAATGTGTTTGGAAGGGAGGAAACTTGGATATTTAACCCTGTCTTGTATGCTTATACTACTTGCTTCCAATAAATTAGAATAATTGGATTTAAATTTTTTTAAAATGTAAAAGTATTAATAACAAAATGGGTGAATCATAGATTAAAAAAAACACAAATATCCATGTTTGATTGAAAATATGTATTGCAAGTATACAAAGTTAGTACCAAAATCTTTTCTTGTGGAATTCGGACGGAAGGGGAAAAAACTCATATTTTATTTTTAGTCAATCTTCCCAAAAACTTCATAACACGTCATATAAAATTTAGTCCATAATCATCACAAAATTCAAATTATTTATTTTTCATCATAAATAAAAAGAATACTCACAAATGTTTTAATCATAGACTCCAAAGACAAATAAAAAAAATAGATCACGTCAATATTTAATAACGCCATATTTTAAATTTATTTGTCATCGTATTTCCAAATTAAACATCGTTTTTTGTAATAAATGATATTTATGTAACAGACAGAGAATTCTCACTCTTATCATGTGAGAGAGAAAATGCAATACTGCTCTTATTATGAATATAAAATCAGTAAAATATTCTGACTACTTTTTTATTCTGTCTTAATTACATAGATCTTTCTATTTTGATAACATATATTTTAATCCAAACCATTAATACTATTAAAGAATATTCTAAAAAGATTCTTTAAGCATACTTTTTAATTCAAAATCATATTAGAAAAAGCTTGTCCCCACTGTACCCTTGTTGTATTAAATCTCCAGTTTATCTTTGGATATTGATGTTTGTTAATGATCTATTTAATATTTTTACTAAATTTACTAAATTAAGATATAACTTTATAATTTAATTTACATATATACAATTACAAAGCATTTTCAGATAATATATATTTAGAAAATTACATCATAAGTCAGTTTTATCTAATAGACGAGATTAAACATTTACATTTATTGTAATCTAAAAATGTATTTAAAATTAATTAAAAATATGGTAATTGATTTAATAGTATAACAAAAAAATTAAAATATGTATTAAAATTATTTTTTTAATTTCAAATAGAGATATATCATATGTGATTAAATGATTAAATGATAATTATTAAGTAATATTTGTGTTAAGAAGGGGTATTTTGGTTAAAATAACAGTTTAACCCTAATGGTAACTAATGGTTAGATGGATAGAAGTTGAATCTCAAAACCAGAAGGGAGATTTGTATAACATATATTTTGATTTTAAGAAAGGTCCATATAGGTTTCCAAAATAAAAGAGAAGTCTTTATAATTTAGGTTAAATAGACGGGAGGTTGATTATTATACGCATAATTATCGAAACCATTTAAATGGAAATAATCCTCATATACCGCTTTCAAGAAAGAAACAAATTGTGATTTAATAAGACCTATGATAAATTTTGAAGAGTTCGATTTCTACATATATTCATTATTGTAAATTTATTCTGAGATTCAAAAGAAAGAAAGAAATCTGTAATCTTTTGTGACGAAGCAAGTTATAAAGCATAACTTATTAACATATATGAAACAATGAGTCTGTGGATAAAAAAAAAGTTAAAGTTAACAACATAAAAATAAATTATTCTTTACTCATTTACAAAGGCATCAATTCATTTGGTGATTGAGATGTTATTACCTTATTATATTCATGGCAAATAAAAAAAAAGAAAATAAATAAAAATTGGAGTTCCACTAAATGGGTTATTGTGATACTGGTTACTAATTACCTCAAATATCCTAATGAAGTTAGATGAATAATTTTAAACCGAAAATAAAAGTATTCAATATTTTGATGAGTTAAATTAAAGTAATTTATTTAAGTGAAAAACACGTTCAATAACATAAATTCAGTATAATATTAAAAGCATCTAACAAATTCAGTGTTTAATACTATTCTTCTTCTTCTTCTTCTTGTTTTTTTTTTTTTCCTAAAACTTCTTTCATATTCTGAAAGTTTAGATAATAAGATTCCATTAGTATAAATTATTCTCAAGTTCAAACTCTGTGACGCGCAGATGCAAGAATAAACAAACAAACAACAATTCGATATACTAGTATATCTAGATGATATTATTTTGAAACAAACTATTTTTTTAAAAAATAACATAGCAAAGAATCTTTAAGTGAATATATACCTCTTTGACAGATAGATGAACTTGAAGATATTTGAGAAGCTTGAACAGTAAAGGCAGGTTGGAGAGAACGATTGAAACTGCTGCTGGAACGTATAAAGCAAAATTGAATGTAAACATGAATGACTCGAGATAAGAAAGATTAAATGGGAGACAAATGTAAATGAATCAAAGAAGTTAGTCTGAGTCTTTATAAATGTTGTTATATTTTGTTATTGTTAATTAAATTATATTATTTTAATATAACCATTCTGACTCCTATTGAACCCTGATCTAACTCACTGTCTCAACCAATTTACTGATTGGTCCGGTTTTTTATTCCTTGCCTTTATCAAGGTATCAATTCGTTTGGTGATTGAGCTATTATTCCCTTCCTATATTCATGGCAAATAATAAGAAAAATAAAATATAAATAAAATAAATGATTAAATGGGTAATTATGATATTTGTTACTTACCTCAAATATTATAATAAAGTTTTTTTTTTTTGGCCAAACCTCCCGAGTAACTCTTAATTCAAATTAAGAGATGTCCAGTTGCACAAAAGTAACAAACAACAATTCATCCAATTGGTACAAACATATGCTATATTAAATTTTTTAAAAAAATTCAAGTCTTAAAATTCATTATTGCAATTTTTTTTAGCCTGATATTATTGTAATTATCGACGAACCAGAAGGATGGAGGAAAAAATAAAGTTGAATAACCAAACTTGTCATGGAAAGCAGATTCATTCAAGAATAAATATTCAGTTAATATAAATTCATCATAACATGACAAAAGCGTCTAAAAGATTTGATGTTTAATATTTTAATATTATAATATTTGACAAAATTAATTTAAAAGCCAATAAAATATATAATTTGATTGAAAATATTTCAGGAGACAGTGAACAAAAAGAAAAGTGATCAGAAAATGGTATTTATTTTATTTTTTGTAGTTATGTTTTGATATGATTAATCTATAAGATCAAAATGATTGGACATCATTCTTCGATTTTGTCAAAATATGAAAGTTATGAAACAGCATTCTGCACGATTATACTGTCACAGATTGAACACACACAAATCCATTTAATACAAATTTACAGTCACATGGTGAGAACATCTAACAGACTGTTTTTTATGTTTAATTTTCTAATACTCATAATTTTGTTCTCATAAAAATTAATTAAAGAATCAACGTAATAGAGATTCTCCAAAGACAATATTTACCCGCAAGAAGAGAGTCTGGTTTGTAAAATCAAAATAAAAAAGAAAAGCAACAACCAACTTCCAAGATAAATCACTAATTTAATTGGACATCAAAAAGCAAAGAGATCATATGCGTAATTACAGAAGCTTGAACATATTTGTACTTACAGAAAAAGATGGGTTGTTTCAACATAAAAAGCTAACACTAGTACAAAATTCTGCTTATGGGATTATAATATAATTTGGAAAAGAGCGGCGGTTGAAAAGTCTCCCCCAGAAACCTACTGGATCTAGTGAATACTTTTAATACAATATTTTCTCCACAACATTTAGCATCTTAAATTAATTTTTGTACAATTTTTTCTTACAATATTTTTTTATCGACAATGAGTATCCTAAACTATATTTCGGTGTAATCTTGGTCATGAAGTTTTACTGTGTTGAGTATTATACTTTATGAGTAAAAAAAAAATCTGAAATTTCAATTTTAATTTTATAATAATATTTTAATTAAAAAAGAAGTAAA